CCAAAAGTTTAAGCAATGATCAATACATTAGCGATATTATCTAACTGAACTTGGTATGTTTGCAGCACAACTGGACTTAGTGGGTCAACATTTGTCAAGGCTCTTTTCTATTCATTTACCTGTCTCACCACAGCGACAGCACCGCTTCTCTCTGTGGCTTTATTCAGGAAGTGGATCTCTTGCCTGGGAAACATCAAAGTCTACAGTCTTAAGGTTCATGATGCAAAAGTAAAAGTACTCGATTTCCCAGTATTTATGTATCAAATCTCAGGGAGGATTTTCATGGAACCTGACTAGGTTACTTGCCTGTCCCTGTGCCCATCTCTATGTCAGGGAGTGGGAGGAAAGGGGGGCGGGTGGGAACTCCAACTGGTTTGTCTGGGGCACTTGCCCCTGAGCAAGTGGTGCAATGAGAGTGAATGACGTTCCCATCAGAATCTGTCATCTTCAGCAGAAGATGGAGCGTGAAGTAGGTGGGTCCCCAGAGAGTGGGATGCTTGACAAATCAACAGCACAGTTTTACTCTGAATATCTTTGTACGTCTTGTATCCTTGTGCCCAGTCTATGAATTATTACTCCATCGAAAGCATGGCTCTCCAGTGTTTCTCGGAAGAGACAAATCACAGGAGAATAAAGTCTAAGGCCTTTGGGATATCAGAGAAAGTGAGACCGTTTTTTAGCATACACAAGACTAATTGGATTATCTGTATTTCTGAGGAACACCAGGAAAAAAGGAGTTTAGGATGATCTGATGGTAAGACCCTGCACCCCACTTGATCTCCATGCTGCAAACACCTTTAGAGACAGAAAATAATTCAGAGTGATCAAAGCTGTTGCCAACAATACAGCTGGTGGTAGCTGATGTGGGATTTGGAATCATTTTCCTTTGACAGTACAATTTTTGAGGACCGGATAGAATCAAGCAGCTAAGTCTCTTCAGGTGCTTAACTTTTATGAGAGGACTGAGGCATTCAATAATTCATGCTAATGCAGCCAGCAGCAAGCAGATTGCTTTCTCCCTCTTCTCAGATGTTGATTACAAAACAGAGCCCCAAGTAAGCTGTGTGGTGGGAAAGCATCCTAGGGAGCCTCAGCAGGCCAGGAGACAATGAAGGGTGGCCGAGGCACCAGGGCTTTGAGATCAAGGGAGCCTAGATCAAATCTGAGGTCTACCCTGTATTATCCATGCACCTCAGAATATCTGCTTCTTCATCACCTACTTCATGGGGTTTGAGATCATATGAGGGAGATACTGCATGGAAGTGCTCATTCCCTTCCCTTTCAAGGACACCTGGTAGGGGAGTGGGAACGCATTGGGCTGCTAACTGCAAGGTTAGCAGTTCAAAGCCACCAGCCACTCAGAATGAGAAATATGAGGCTTTCTATTCCCTTAACGAGTTGCAGTATCAGAGATCAGAGGGGCAGTTCTACCTGTCTTAAAGGGTCACTATGAGTAGGAATGGACTCGAGGGCAGGAGGAGAGAGTCTTCCCTTTCCGTTTGAGGCGATCAATCACTCTGCACCTTTCCCTATCTCTCATTTCCTCTCCAACAGGGAAGCCAATGTTTTCTGTGAGCAGGCATGACAAACTCACAGAACCACGAAAGGGTTCATAAAATAAAGAGGAAAATGGTGTTCATGTTAAAAGTAGAATTCACAATTCACTTTCATAATATTTCCCTCTACTGAGGAGAGATGGAGGGGTGGGGAATGAAGCTGGTCATGCAATTAGGACTATCTCGGGCTTCAAAGTTTAGGCTTCAAAGAAATGTTAGCGTCTTATGCATTTTTCATTTAAACTATTTGCTCTGTAGCCATTTTAATTAGAAAGTGTATATTGCAGTGGACTGTCTTCCAGAAAGACAAGGAAGAAAGCATGTTAGCCACCTACAAAAACTTTTATTAAAAATGCCGTTGCCCACAGTTGACTTAGATCAAGGTCTACCTCAGACAAGTAGCATCAAGCCTGGATGGTGGAGAAGCTTGAGAGAAATGCAGCTGTTTGAATCCACCTCGAAAACATGGTGACCAAATAGGTCAACAATGAGATGACACCAAGGGCTCAAGTAGAAAGAACATGTTTTGAGAATGATGATGGCAACATATGTACAAATGTGCTTGACACAATGGAGGGATGGAGGGATTGTGATAAGAGCTGTACGAGCCCCCAATAAAATGATTGGAAAAGAAGAAGAAATGAAGTTCAGGAACCTTCTACATGTTTTAACATCTTCCAGAATTCTGATGCAGCTAACCCCAGGTGTCATTTGAAAAACACTGATATGTTAGTGTTTAAGAGTTTGATCTTGGGGACAGACAGAGCTGAATTCAAATTCTAACACCACCACTTGTTAGTTTCATGAACTCAAATGACTTTTTAACCTCTCTGAGCCCCAATTTTCTAACCTGAAAAATAGTATTGGAAACGGTACACATTTCAAAGGTTGTTGAGAGAATTAAAAAAGTAAAATAAGACATAGGAGAAAGCATTCGATAAATATTAGCTATTGATAGTATGAAGGAGTTCTACGGCCCAGGGGTGAGTGCTGCGGAGGAGAAACTGAAATCGGCAACCCCATGTCCTGAGCGGCACGATCAATCATTACTTGATGCTCTTAGACATTTTCGAATGCTCGGTTTATTCACTGCAAACACACACCAAACAATCTAAAATATTACTCAAACTACTAAGGGCAAACAACTATGAGCATAAGGGCAGAGTAACAACTATGAGCATAAAGGCAGAATAACGACTATGAGCATAAAGGCAAATTACAACACTTCTCACACATTTCGTACTAGCACCATAGTCCCAATCAGCATTGCCTCATCGGTGGACTCATCCCGGGTAGAGTTGGAGAGAGCAGGAGATGATGTCTCCTTGGTTCCTAGCTCTCTGAAAGTCAGTGTCTCTACAGGTTTAAATTGACATTTTGGCTAGCTCTTTGACGTATTCACCATCCCAGTCAAGTCTTATCGGGTCTCTCCACGCTTTAGGTGACTCGGCTAGCTTTTGGGCGTCGGTCAGGTCTCAGCCCAGTCTTATCAGGGGTCTCACATTTTTGTGGTGGCTCCTTGGATGCAGCTGTGAATTGGGGCCCCAATGTTACATTTATTTTTACTTTAAAGTGGAGTTTCTTGTGTTTGCTTCTTTGATGTGGCTCAATGTCTTGCAAGGAAGTTTTATGGTGCTCTCATCACCCCAGCCCACCCTCTGTCCCAAGGGTGAAAGATGTGACGGCCTACATCCACGGAGACTGATAACCTTGGCGGGCTCTAAGTGAAGGAGCCCTGTGAGTAGCTGCCCCAGCCTGACAGTGGCAGGTTGAGTTAGATCTTTACTATATTAAGTCAAAACGACTTAGCTTCTTGTTCTTCTCTTCTCTCTCTTCTGTTCAAAAGTCCAAAATCGCAGTGCATTTGGCAAGACAGACGTTTATTTCACTGTCAGACACAAGTCTGCAAGTGTGGTGGTCCGTGGAGGACTAGCATCACAGCCCCGCCCCCCAGCCCCCTCCTCTACGTGGGTGAAACCCTGAGCCTCCTGCACCCAAGAGGGCCGCTATGTTCCACCCACCGTGTCTGCATCCCATGAGGAGTAAGATGAGGAACGAAAGGGGGAAATCTTTCTCTCAAAGTTGTCTTCATTCCATTGACCACATTAGAAAACATAGCCAGGATTCCAGGTGGTCAGAGGAGGGGGCTTCATGAAGCTTGAAGCGCATTTGCCACTTCACACGCGTTAAGCCCCTTCACACACACACAGAAATGGAACTATTTTGCAGTAAGATGCGGACAGGGAGTATGGAGGGACAACTATGATGTCTTGGTTTGCCCAAGCCTGGAAATCTAGCACATTTGGGTCATTTTTCAGGCATCCTTTGCTCCCATCCTGCCTCTATTTGCTTAATTCTCAGCTAAGAAGCGTGTGGTTTTTCTGGTCCTTAACAGCTTGGCTTGTTTTCTTCCTAAAGAAAATACTTTCAATTTTCCGGCTTCATTCATATTCATTTTGTTGTACAGCTTTAATAGGTAACATAATTATTTCTTTATAGAAAAATTATAAAGCACTAAGGTAAGCAAAGGAAAGCTTTTTTTTAAATATTGAAATTCTCACTACTCAGAAATAGCCACTCTTAAAATGCCAGTGTATAGTCAACTATCATTTCTTTTTTTAAAAATCATTTTATTGGGGACTCATACAGCTCTTATCACAATCCATATATACATCCATTGTGTCCAGCACACTTCTACATATGTTGCCATCACCATTTTCAAAACATTTCCTTCCACTTGTGCCCTTAGTATCAACTCATTTCCCCTCCCCCACCCTCCCTCTCTCATGAACCCTTGATCATTTATAAATTCTTATTTATGTCATGTCTTACACTGACCAATGTCTCCCTTCACCACCTTTCTGTTGTCTTTCCCCCTGGGAGGGGACTATACATAGATCACTGTGATCTGTTAGCCCTTTCTCTCCCCACCTCCCCCTTACCTTCCTAGTATTGCTACTCTCACTATTGGTCCTGCGGGGGTTTATCTCTTTTGGATTCCCTGCATTTCCAGCTCTTATCTGTACCCATGTGCATGCTCTGGTCTAGCCAGATTTGTAAGGTAGAATTGGGGTCGTGATAGTGGGGGGTGGGGGGAGGAAGCATTAAAGTACTAGAGGAAAGTTGTATGTTTCCTTGGTGCTATACTGCACCTTGACTGGCTCGTCTCTTCCTTGTGACCCTTCTGTGAGACGGTGTCCAAATGTCTACAGATGGACTTTGGGTCTCCTCATTCACATCGATATTTTTTATTCTGGGTCTTTGATGACTGATACCTGATCCCATCGATATCTCATGATCACACAGGCTGGTGTGCTTTTTCCATGTGGGCTTTGTTGCTTCTCAGCTAGATAGCTGCTTGTTTATCTTCAAACCTTTTAAGACCCCAGATGTTATATCTTGTAAACGATCATTTCACAAGATAAAAATACACATAGGCATTGGTAATGAAAGCATGGTTTACATCATTGCTTTTAATAGCTTCTATTACAACAGTGTATTGTCAGCAACTCAATGATATTAATTATAGTCAGTATCATTGATTTTAATGACTGTATAGCTTTCCATTATATGGGTGTATCCAAATTGATTCAACCAATTCACTATTTTTTATTCAGAACACAGTGATAAACCTTCTAGTACACATGTCTCTGACCACTTGGTAATGAGTTTCCCAAGGACATGCTGTGTTCCTGTGGTTGTCTAGTCACTGGGCTCCCTTGCTATATGTAGGGAGCAGCAGAGAAGTTTCACTCCACCGTCCCATCAGCAAAGTGGTGGACAGATCTTGTCTCTATCTCCAGTCAGTTGCTTTTTAAATGAACATTGTAGACTTGGAAAGTACTCAGAGAGCTGAATCAATGTCTCCCTGCACTCCATTACAAATAGCAACACGGTCACCCTGACGGGACTATTTTGTACCAATGTCGAGAAAAACACCAAACAAAATACTATCCCACATGACCTTGAAGGGTTGGTATTAAACCTAAGTTGTTTGAACTTCCAATTTGCCAAATTGACTCAGAACAAGACCAAAGTGAGGCCATTTCTGCATGGATAAAAATCAGTCACAAATAGGAAAAAAGAAATATACTTGATTGAAGTTTAGACAAATGATTTGACAAATGATTTTTTTAATTGACTGATTACTAATTGTTTCTTTGTCTCATTTGAACTTCCTAATGATCCAATTCCTTGTGATATTTACACTTTCTAGAGAAAGCTGAAGACAGATTATACTACAGCACTCTCATATAATAATCTCTATTTTCTGACAGTTCTCATCTCAATTTGTTTCCCATCAACACTGAGGAGTAGGCAACAATGGATATCATTGTTATTGTTGTCATACGCCATCAGGTCAGCCCAGACTCAGAGAAACCCCAGAGAACAGAGTAGAATTTCCTCATCGGGTTTCCTAGGCTGTAATCTCTATGGAAGCAAACTGCCAAGTCTTTTCTTCCTTGGAGTTGCTGGTGGGATTGAACCACTGATATTTTAGTTAGCAGTTGAGTACATAATTATTGAGCCACAAGTAGTTCTCCATATGAATAAGAATCCACTACCTATCGGAACATTTGACATATTTTAGTAGCTTTGTGTTGCTTTGATGCTGGAAACTATGCCATCAATGTTTCAAATATTAGTAGGGTCACCCAGAGTAGATAGATTTCAGCTCCCAGACTAAGAGAGACTGGTGGTTGGGGGGGTGGGGGGAGTGTGACTAACAACTGCTGAACACTAGCCAGAAGAATCCTATGGATCACAACAGAAGAGTGTCTAATATAGAGCCAGAAGATGAGCCCCATAGGTTAGAAGGCACTCAGAAGTAGGACATGGCTTCCACAGTGGACTAGGACACACCAACAATAAACTTCTTCGCAACAACCTTAGTACCACTATCCTCAGCCCATTTTATAAATGAAGGGATTACAGCATGAGGAAGATTAAATAATTCCAGCATAGTCACACTGTGGACAGAGATGGAGCCAGGAGTCAGATCAAAAAGGCATCAATGGCTCACTCAAGTTCACGTAGTTATGACATCCAAAGCTTGCTACGGGCATAGTGATAAGAACGAAAGCCTAGAATCAGCTAGCACGGGTTCAGGCCCTGGAGCTGCCATTTTCCAGCTGTGTCACTTTAGGCAAGTCGTTGAACCACTCTTACCTCGCTTACTGTATCTGATAATCAGAGATAATAGCAGTGGCTATTTTAGAGGACTACGTACAGTAAATGAGACCATTCACATACCAAACTTACACAGGAAAAAACAGCAGCAACTCCCTGCCATTAAGTCCATTCTGACTTGCAGCAGCGTTAGCGATGCCAATGACCTCTCAGAGTGCGTGTGTCATTGGTCTGTGCCACTCCAGGTGCCTCGAGCAAAAGCCTTGTGCAACTACCGAGGGCAGAGTCCCGGCGACCTGAGGTTTAACAAGGGAGATGTCGTCCTCCTGCGGAGACAGCTGGACGAGAACTGGTACCAGGGGGAGATCAACGGAGTCAGTGGCATCTTCCCAGTAAACTCTGTGCAAGTCATCAAGCAACTGCCCCAGCCGCCGCCACTCTGCCGCGCCCTCTACAACTTCGACCTGCGGAACAGGGATCGGAGCGAGAACCAGGATTGTCTGACTTTCCTCAAGGTAAGATTCCAGTCACCGAAGACCCCGTAGAGACTGTGGGGACACAGGGAATTGTTTGTTTAATATTTGCTGGTTTTTAAATCTTTTTAGGATTATATATGTATTGTGAGTGTATGTATATTTATTTGTCTATAGAAGGCCCCAGGGTAGTACAAATGGATTTCCCTTGACTACCAATCTAAAGGTTGTCAGTTCTAACCCACCCAGGGGCATTGCAGAAAAGAGGCCTGACAATATGGCTTTTGTGAAAGATATCAGCCAAAAAGAAACACCGCAGAGCCATTCTACTTTGTAACCCATGGGGATGACGGGAGTTGGAATCAATTCAATGGCAACAGGTTTGGATCTTTTGGTTTGGTTTGGTGTGAGTGTATGAGAGGGCTGCACAAAGTTGGTGGAACATGGAAATAAAAGATAAGAGAATTTTCCCATTAACTTTTTGAAACCCTCTTGTACATGTCTGTATTTGTGTATATAAAATTCAACCTATATAGACTTGAAATCTCTAGATAAATCTACTGACAAGAATAATAGATAAGGGTTTGGCACAAATGCTTAAACCTTTAAGCAATGATAAACAATCCAGTCATGCATTCATTCATTCACTTTACAAACATTTTTACGCGTTGCTTATTTTCTGGCTCTGGAATACAGCAAGAATGAGGCACTGTCACCACCATAAGGCATGTGATGAACAAATAATAATAGTAACCACAGCTTGATAATGTCCTGGATAAAACTACACAGCTCTTTCTCTTTGTTACACCAGCATCTAGAAGCTTCTTTTTGCTGACCGAGTTAGGGTAACTTAATTCCATTAATTCACAGCACCCTACTTAGTTGTAAGCCTAGTATTCAAATTACTGTAAATATACATGATAGCCTAATTATGCCTTTATACATGCATGGCTTCTCAAAAATATTTTTTTCAAGCACATGAGTTGAATTAGTTGATGTAAGATTTTCTCCCTCTCTTAATATAATGTGCTTTGATGCGTATTCAATAGATTTGTCCCTTTTTTATGATTCTTCATCATTTGCAAGTAAAGCTAACCAAATGCCAGTGGGGATCCTACACAGGGTTTCCGATGCTGCAACCCTTCACAGAAGCCCCACCTTGTGGCTGGCAGCCCAATGATTATTGAGCAGAGCATTTTCACTCTCTGGACTTAGTATTTATTACTCCTAAAATCTTCAAATGTGTTCATGGAAAGTTAGGATTATTTCCATTCTTGGCCACTGGTGATGGAACACAAATATCGGAGTGGCACGGCTTACAAAGGCCCAGGAAGGCCTTTTCTTTTGTCGGATTACTTTATTCCACCGCTGTCAGACATGACTTTGTATCCCTTCAAAGAACCTCACCTCACTCGTCTCCATGTTCTGCCACAATGATCTTCTTGATTGTCCCGGCGTCTCCGAGTGAAACTCCACGGGAAGGTCATGCTGTAGCTTGAACTGCAAAGTTTGTCCTCAGACTACAGTAAAGGAAGGTCAGTTTACTTCCACAAACATTTTTTTTTTTTGAGGCTTTACTCTGTGCCAGCCCTTACAGACTGAGCACCGGAGACACAGTCTAAGAAAGATCGGCACTGCAGCATCTACTTTGCCAGCCTTCTTCGCTAACTGAGACGCTCGACATGCTCATTCACTCACTGAGCCATTCTTGCGGCAACCTGGCCACTGGGGATAAAATGATGAGTCATCGTCCACAGAGCCAGCAGTGTCGTGGAGAAACAGGCTCGTAAATAGGAAGTTATAACCTAGGAACTAAAATAGAAGGTCAGGAAAGAGTTCATTCCGAAACCTCTAGTCTTCCTAAGTCAACATGCCCAAATTACACTCAAGGTCTTTCCTCTCCATGTGGCTATTTTCCTAGTGCTTCCTGTCCCGGTGTATTATACAGTTCATTTATTCATGCATGCATGCATCCAAGAAAATGTTACTGGATGCCTCTTGAAAGATAGCCACTGTGTTAGATGCTGGGGATAGATAAATGATCAATACAGATAGATCCAGGTCCTACATACATGGAGTTGGGGTCTGATAGGATGGACAGGCAGTAAAGAAGTAACATATGGGAGGTTTTTTCCTATTTTCTTTATTTTATTGTTTTTGTTGAGAATATGCGCAGCAAGACATACACCAGCTCAGCGGAAGTAATACCATATATGTGAATGATTAGACATTGTCATAAGCTATGAAAAATTGTCCAAGCTATGAGTTTGTGTAGTGCAGTAATGAATTTAAGTTTGGGTTAAGCTAGATCACTGAGGGAGATGGCTCAGATCAGGAGACTGAGGAACTGGCACTTATACTAAGCCTCAGTGGATGAGTGTCCAGGTCTAGGCTGATGAACAGGTATGGGTATGGAAAAGTGTGGCCTGCATGACTCCATTGGTATAAAGTACAAGAACTGGCAAAATGAACGCAGAGTGCTAGGAGTCTGAATCCCACTGACTCTTCCTCTGTGGGAGGAAAGGACACAGCAGGTAAAGCAACGTTCTCCATTTTGATCTGTGTGGTGGCTTTGTAGATGGTTCCAGATGTAAACATTCATAGGCCTGTACATCTCAGATTTATGTAGTTTATGTATGCATGTGTATACACTTTCTAAAATATTTTTTAGAAATCTATATGTATATGTGTGTGTGCATACACACATACAGAATGGAATTTGAAAAGGTTCATGGAAAAATTCAGTTATTTTTAATTCCCGTTTTCCATGTACTTTTTTCAAGCCAGAGAGAGAGATGTTTTGATTAAGAACTTGGCTGCTAACCAAAAGATTGGTGGTTCAAACCCAACCAGCGGCTCCTCAAGAAAAGACCTAATGATCTGCTTCTATAAAGATACAGCATAGAAAACTCCAAGAGGCAGTTCTCTTCGGTCACATGGGGTCACCGTGTGTCTAAATTAACTCAATGGCACCCAATGGCACCCAGCAACAACAACAGATGTTTTGCTTTCATAGAATATAAGTTGGGAAAAATATATACCAAGGTGGTAACAGTGATCTTATCTCTATTATGGATTTTTTTGTCTTGCTACTCTGCATTATCTAGCGTTTCTACAGCCTACATCTTACCCTTTGTATTAAGAAAAAGTTGAATTAATAGATCTTACTTTCTGAAACACAAAAAAAGGAATAAATTCTTAAAAGACTTTAAAATTCGATGAATTACATTCTTTCTTTCTTTTTTTAGTTAAAAGAAACTTGTCTTCCTGTGATTTTCATTTTGATTCTTCCTGATTCTACTGGTAACAGAAAATTAGAAACATTTCCAAGTTTTCTCATTGGATTACATTAACCCTTCAAATGATGTCTATACCTCTTGTAGCCTCGAGGAGCTCTGGTGGCTTAACGGCTACCCATTGGACTGTGGCAGTCAGGGACACCAGCTGCCAACTGGGAGAAAGATGGAGCTTTTTGCTCCAGTGAAGGCTCATAGTCTCAGAGACTCACAAGGGCAGATCTACCCTGTCCTATAGGATCTCTGTAAGTCAGCATCAACTCCATGGCAGTGAGTCTGGTTTTATGTAGCCTTGAGGACCTTTAAACGCTGTCTTTTCCAGGAAAAAAAAAAGATCATTTTAGCAGAAAGATTTAGTAGGAAATCATAGAAGGGCTATTCCATTCCTTGTACCTTATACCATCTGGGAGTCCCTGCTGACCTCCATTGAAAGCTCTCCTCACCTGAAACCTGAGACTGGATGGTGACTATGAAACGTTCTCTCTTTCAGGATGACATCATCACTGTGATCAGCAGAGTGGATGAGAATTGGGCAGAAGGCAAGTTAGGAGATAAAGTGGGCATCTTCCCTATCTTGTTTGTGGAGGTAAATATCAGCTCTGCACCTTGAGGAAAGCTTCTTCTGAGAATATGTGTGTGTGTGTGTGTGTGTGTGTGCCATAACAATTCATGGGAGCAATTCCTATATGATATCAGGTTTACTTCAGTATGACTAAGCTCTCTAAAGATGCGATTGCCCAGTCATTGCAAGAGTACGGGGGAAAGGGCCTTTTTCGTTCTGTTAATGGAAATGGAAATTGTTCAATCTCTCATACCTACTGACAATCATATTAAAGAATAATGTTTAATATCATTTAATATAAATGGGAAAATGTTCATGATCCAGTGATAAGTAAAAAAAAGTTGAACTACATAAACTGAGTTTTACAAATATATGTATACATAAACAAATAAAGGATTAAAGGAATATGCTTACAACATTAACAGCATGGATTGCTAGATGGTGAGATTCTAGATGGTTTTCATTTACTTTGGCCTGTTTGTGAATATTTAGTATTCTGAAAAGGGCATTGCAAAAATGCATTTGTGGTTTTTAAAAACTTCTTAAAGAAATAAAATATGCTACACTATCTACGGATTTCTTCAGTATGATAATACAATCTGCTGCCCCAAACCTCCCTGACTGAGAGGCTGACCCCAGCTTGGAGTAGGTCGTTATAAATTTAACAGAGCTGATTCGTTGTTTAACTGTTTGGTGGCGTTGAGTCGTGAAGTGTGGGGTACGCACAACGAGCAGTGGAGAGCTATGAAACAGTAAAAGGCATGCTCCCTGGCCTCCAGGTGGGGTGAAAAGAGGTGATCAAGGATCATGTCTAGCCTTCTGATTGGAGGGCCTGAGTCAGTGGTAGAACCACGGTCTGGGTCAAGGACCATTTGTTGAGGAGGAACAATTATGATCATTGGAAACGAGGGTGACCTCTCTAAGGGCGATCAATCAGCTGCAACTAGTACCTCATACCTAGAGTATTATTTCAACTCACTGCTATCTCTCACCTGGAGATGGCTTTCACAAACGAAGTTTTCTTTCACCGCTTTAAGAGGCTGATAGGAGGGTGCCAGCTCTAAGAGAAAGCTTTCTGTCTCTGTCCCCTCTGTTGTCTCCTTTCAACATCTGTGGACCTGGCATTCCTTGCTGAGTTTCATTGTCTCTTGACATAAATCTTACTGAGGTTAGAAGGTTCTTAGCACAAGGACCTGTCTGCTCTTCTTTGTTGGTGGTAGGCAGGTCCCTCCACTCTGCTTACTTCTCTCCTTTGATCTCTTGTAAAATACAAGGTGTGATATGAATAAGAATGTGACTTTGAATAAGGATGGGAGGGTGGGATGTATTAGGCAATAACTGAAAATGCACCACCTCACACTGATTCTACCTCATTGACATAGAAATTAGGATTCACAGCATTACCAAATGGAAGGTAATCACATCAAATCACAGAATGGGGAACAACAGCCTAATACTGAGAATCATGGCCTAGCCAAACTGGCATATATTGGGGACGGGGGAGGATATACAATTCAATCCATAACAGATGTGCTTAACAAATTCATTCAAATTCCAATTTGCATGATCCTCTTCATTATTTCAAGAATCTTCTTCATATCTTTGAGAAAAGAGGCACCACCAATTTCATTACCCCTTTCTGAAACCCTGTTTTCCAAAATGTCTCCAATTAATGATTATTCGTTTGAATACTCTCTCCACCTCTTCACCTCTAAAATTAGTGATTACAAGAACCCTCAAGATTATCATCAAACTCGCCATTGCCTCATTTGTTCTCCTAATTGCTAGGAAGGGGAAAAGATAATCAAGTGGTTGCTCTAATCTGGGAACCTGGCTTTCAAAAATTACTTGAAATCTAAATTGAGCTTTTTAGAGCAGTACTTACATTTTGACTCCAGACATTTCATTAAGATTAGCACTTGCTGTGAACTCTTTAAATAAGCTTTGAACTACCTGTGTCATGCCAAGCAACTGGAAGGAAAGAAATCTGTCTTAAGAAGATGACATGCTTTGAGAGGCATAAACAGGATTTTTCTTGTTAATGTATCATTTTATTTATTGAATTGCACCTGAATACAAAAGTGATAAAAGAAACAGCAAGTGTTCACCTATTCTTGTCTGCACTTGTCCAACAGAGCCCGCCTGGGTTATCTGAATTTTGCTCAGCCCAGTGAACCTCAAGGATCTTGCTGCAAATGAGTGGGCACAAATCTCAGAGAACCACGATGCTTTCCCAACTGAGCTATTCATCACATTGGCAGGGGACACGGGAGACGCACAGTCACCGGGCCCCTTTGTTGATGCTGCTGGAAAAGATGGTGGTGCTGGGGGCAGGGGGAGCCTCACCTGGGGGTCAGAGCAATTAAGTGGAGGGAGAAAAAAATGAACTTACTGCATTATAGCTTAGTTGTTGTTTTGTGAAATGTCACCAAATCAGATGCAGCTCATAGCGACTCAGTGTGACAGAGTAGAACTGCCCCATCAGTTTTTCTGGCTGTGATCTTTATGGAAGCAGATCCCCAGATCTTTCTCTTGAAGAGCCACTGAGTCTGTTTGAACCACCAACCTTTCAGTAAGCAGCCAGGCACTTACTCGTTGTGCCACCAGGCCTGCTTCTCATACCTCTGAATGGCCGTGAAGAGCTTTCCTCATTCACTCGACGTGTGTACATTGTCCTTTGACTCAGTGAACAAAGAAGTGATAAGTGTTCTGGGAAATATATGACATGGTCTCGAGTCCAGGATGTCTTCTGGGCTTGCCTAGACCCTTTTAGTACCCTCCTAATTGGTCTCCCTATCGTTATGGTCCGTGGACGGTTGTTGGATTAGCATTGGGCTGCTAATCACAGAGTCAGAATACATTTGTTTGTAAAAGACTTGTGATCTTCCTGTTATAATAATACTAAATAACTAAGGCAGATACTAAATATTTGTTTAAGTTTGCAAGAACTGACCAACTGTAGAAAATTTTATTAAAAGGTAGCTTGGGTTATATCACTCATCTACCTTTATCCTGCCAGAGCCTTCCTGTTACACTGAGAGCAAAGCGATCTGGCCCTTGCCTAGCCCCCTGGCCTTCTCGCTTACCACCTGCTCCTCAGCCCTCTGCTCCAGCCTGCTCTCTCTTTCTTCTCAAACAGGCTACGCCCCTTCCCTCTTTAAGACCTTTTGACTAATTTATAATACCTCTATGGAGTCCCTGGTTGGTGCAAGTTAACTCATGCACTCAGCTACCACCTAAAAACTAGAAGTTTGAGTCCAACTGGAGCCATCTCAGAAGACAGGCCTGCGGAGCTACTTTTGAAAACCCAGCATGGAAATCCCTATGGAATTAAATTCTACTCTGGAGGTATAATTCTACTCTGGCATTATGGTGCAGGGAATTGCTTAATATGGCTCTCCTCGAATTAATCTTGATGGCTCTCACACAATATTGAAGTAGATTGTGATGGACCATGTACTGGTAGCCCTTCAAGGAAATTGAAAAGCTGGCTTTTATTGCAAATAACATTCATGGAATCCATATGGGAGTGGGACCATGCAAATAAGATGTATGGGACCCTCACAATGGTAAGTTTTGCCTTTCCAATAGGCTTAAAAGGAGCCATCCCATGTTAAGGAAGAAAGGCAGGAGAGCAGAGCACATTTTTTGCATACAAGGGCCCTGCACTGAGAACCTTCCAGACCCAGAAGACAAAGAGACGATACAAGATCATAAGAAGCAGTGGCAAGAAAAAATGGCAGCAGCAGAACCAGAACCCCAGCACAAGATGATACAGATGCATCAAGGCTCACACAACAAGGAAGTTAGAGTGGATGTGCCAACCCATCCAATGAGCTGTGCCTTAAAGCAAGAGCGGGCTGGCGAAGCGGGATGCCCCCAGGCACTTGTCAAGAGAGCTGGCCTTGCTGACCCACGGAGCTGGGGGCATTCAGATCAAGGCTCACCAGCAGAGTGGCCTGCCTCTGGACTAAAGAACTTCCCAGCAAGCATGGCTATAAAGAATCTGTCCTGGTTGAAACACTCTATCCTCCATATTTCCTGATCCTGAGTTTTAACCTGTTACATCCCGAATAAACCTCATAATCATGAGTATTGTCTGTGAGCTCTTTGAGACCATTGCGATGAATTATCAAAACTAGCAGAGAAATAGGCAGTGCCCTGAGAAGGACAATTGCTTTTTGAAATGGGAATAAGGTTGAAGAAAGGAGCTATATCTGATCTCCAATACATAGGACTCAGCCTTGCTTTTTGAAATGGGAATAAGGTTGAAGAAAGGAGCTATATCTGATCTCCAATACATAGGACTCAACCTTGCACTGTTGACGGTGATTCTCCCCACCACCTTGTACAGTTGGGAGAGGTCAGAGGCTTTTCCTGCACCAGGAGTGCGGACACACAGACTCTCCATGAGTCAGAATCAACTTACCAGCTATTGGTGATACCATTCCTCCTCCTAGCATCTTTCCCCCATCTTCATGTGGCAAGCTCCTCCTTGTCCCCTGTGTCTCAGCTTAAATGCCACCTTCTCAGCTGGTCTTTCTGGACCATCCAATGTAAAGTGGCGGCTTCTCTCCTTCACTATCCCATCAGAGCACCTACTGTCTTGTATTTATGTTTCTTATGTTGTTTAGTTTACATGCTGACTCTGCTGCCTATAAGCCACCCTCTCTGGACCTTTCTTTCTTGTATTTAAAATGCAAATAACATGCCCCTCCCTTACTTGATAGTTGTTTCACAATATTATGACAGAAACTGCATTTTCTTTGAAATTTGCTATCATGGCTATTTTAATCCTTTGCACATTGCCATTGAAACATTCTTCGATGGACAACCTCCCTTTTATCTCTATATTTCAATCTCTAAATCAGAGAAAGGCATGTGACTATTGAAGGTAATTGATGACAATTATAACTTCATTATTCTGCAAACACTCTCTAAGCATCCAGGCGGAATAAAGCAGAGAATATCATGTATAAAGTCCCTTCTCTCAGAGAGCGGACAGTCCAGTGCGGAAAGGCATGGAAATGACTATACTACAGAGTGGAAGTGCAAAGATGGCCAGTTGCAAGGCTGCAGAGACACCAAGAAGGCAGGCACTCACTTTGGGGGTTTGGTGGGGTCGGGGGTTGACTAACAAATGAGTTGAGATATCTATTGGGTAAAAAGGGTCAGGGCAGAGATTCCTGGCTTATCTTTAACCCTTTTGAACTTCACTTTAGACAAAAAAAATCAAACCAGTCAATTCCATGTCATGCTGACTCCATGTGTCAAAGTTGACCTGTTCTCCATAAGGTTGTCAGTGTCAGGTTTTCCAAAGTAGATCGCCTTTTGCAAGGCACCTCTGAGTGGACTTGAATAGCTCCGTTTTCAGTTAGCAGCCAAGTCCTTCCCAGTTTGCACCACCAGGGACACCCAGAACTCAGTGATAGAGATTTATAATAGCACTTGCTCTGTAGAAGAGTTGTGAGAATTTATTGATACTGCAAAATCTCTGGGGTATATTGTACAAGACAGAGTGGATGCCCTACTCTCCCTGGAGTGAACAATTAAGGAGGTGGCATCTGCACTGCTTCGGACCAGCCCGGGTAAACCTTAGCTGCTCACAGTCTATCAGCAAGACTAAGTTATCATTGGTCCTTTTGTCTTTCAGCCAAACCTCACTGCAAGACATCTCTTAGAGAAGAACAAAGGACGTCAGTTATCTCGCACAAAAACCCTGTCTCTAGGGTCCCCATCTCCCAGAGGCAAAGCAACCAATTCGCCCACCCTTCAAAGGGGCCCTGGGTCCAGGAGGAAGGGGCCTGGGCAGTTCTCCATCACAACAGCTTTGAACACGCTCAACAGGATGGTCTATTCCCCTTCAGGACGCCAAATGGTGGAGATCAGCACCCCAGTCCTTATCAGCTCCAGCAACCCCTCTGTGATCAATCAGCACATGGAGAAAGCAGAAGTTTCTCCCAGCTCCGCTGGACAGGTAAGGGACAAAGCCCTGGGATAGCAGCACCTTGGGATCTAGGCCAATGGTTTGCATCATGTCATACGAAATAGCTGAAGTTTCATAACTGTTAAACCCCCATAAAACATGAACAATAACTATTGCCATATATAAGACAACCAGGTGTCACAGTGGATTAAGTGTTGGGCTGCTAACCAAAAGATTAATTACTTGAAAACCACCAGCTGCTCCACACGAGAAAGATGAGGCAGTCTGCACCCATAAAGATTTACAGACTCACCCTCCAGAAGAAATCGCTGAAATTATGACTGCTGTAACAAAGTGTAATGAAGGAATCAGATGATTCCTGGCTGTCAGAAAGACTAGTGGCTGGGGCCTTAAAGGCTTATCTTAAAACAAGCCGTCATCTAAGTGAGGCATCAACTAAGTCCACACAGAAGAAGCACACTAGCCTGTGTGATCCAAGAATTATCAACAATAAAATCCAAATCCAGAGGAGGGAACAGTATTAGAGGTTAAAGTCTAAACACCCATTTGACAATACAAATGACAAAAGAAGCCCAAAATCCATGTGCAGGGTCCCCACATTGATTAAGCCTCTGAGAATCCCCTGTGAACGTAATCCACGGATGTGAATAGCCTGGCTGTCCGACAGAGAGCATTGTAAAGTCAATTGTGGCAGATGTAGTTAGGTTAACATGTAACACCTTATCATTTGATCTCCCTTTTTACCCATTTTAAGTGTGTTCCAGTTTTTAATAGTTTCTATTTTCCTTCTGATTGAGATTTTACTGTTTTATTTTTGTCTTTGTTGTTGGATTTTTGTTTGTTTGCTGTTTTTGTTTTGTATGTTTTTCGAGATATGAAATCCAGTATAGATAAATCTATAGAAAGAATAGTTAGAGTAATAATTACCTAGGGGCATGGCCGGGGAGGTTGGTGGAAAATGGGGAGCTGACAACCATGAATACAAGAAAGAAGAAAATATTCTAAAATTGATTATGGTGATGATTGCATAACTCTCCTTAATATGATTGAGCTATTGAATTGCATTATGTGTGAATTTTATGCCAATAAAACTATATTAGAAAAGAAAAGATGTAAACTTGGAAATCCTCTGAGCAGTTCTACTCTGTCCTATGGGAGTAACTGTGAGTCAGAATCAACTTGACGGCTCTGAGTATGGCCATATATAATATGTATTAGAGCTCTATATGCATGATCACATCTCATCCTTGCCACAGACTGTGAGTTAGGTATTCATAGATTGAGCCCCACTTTCTAAACGAGGAAACTGATGCTTTCAGCAACTTTCTCAAATTCTCACAGCTGCTTTCCTCTCTGTGTTAGGAACCAGGACATGGTTCCTACCTCTTAAAGACTTTCCCTCTATGTTGATGAAGGCCCCCATTTTCCAGTAAGGGTTTTGGCACCACAAGTTAAGAGTCTCTATCCTTTCCTCTGACTGCAAATTAGGCATCACCTGGAAAAGAGGGGAAAGAAAGAAAAAGGAATCAGAGGTTATTGGATGGTTTCAAGATTTGGCCACATCAATTGTGGGAGTCACTACAAAATGCTGGGGACTTGGTGCAAGAATTAAGAATTTCAAGATGACAAAAGAGCAAGCCGCCAAATGCAGAGGCCTTCAGAGCATAAGGCTCTGGGCAGCTTCACAAGCCTCACACCCATGCAGCTGGCCCTGGGAGTTTTCCTATGGAGAACCTAATTAGAACATGAACAGAAATGCTTAGTACAGTGTCTGATGTATGTGGTCGTTCTTGTTGTTGTAAACTGTTAGCAAGCCCCCTTCCAAGTCAATGCAACCCTGTATACAATGGAGTGGTCCTGAGCCATCCCCGTGATTTGTGGCAGATCTGACTGTTGTGATCCAAAGGCCTTTATTTTGCTGAGTTTTGGAAGTAGATCGCCAGGCTTTTCTTCCTAGTCCATCCTAGTCAGTAAACTCCACCCAAACCCATTCAGCAACCTAGCAACACACACGCCTTTGAGGACAGGCAGGTGGTGGCTGTGCGTGGTACACTGGTGGCTATTATACTGGCCAGGAATTGAACCTGGATCCCCACGTGGAAGATAAGAATTCTACCCTTGAGCCATCAATTACTGTCAAGTAGATTCTAGCTCATGGCATATACTCAGCTTTCAGTGGACCTTAGTTCTTATTTCTATTGTTATTATTAACCCAGATCCCTGAAGGGAGATAACCCCAATGAAAGGAGATAAACCAAGGAGTAGATGTGGCAATACAGGAGCTGAAGTGTTTCTAACAGCATGTGGCTATTTAGGTTGAAGGGCCCTTTAAAAAATGGAGGCGTAGAGGTGTGAGGCAAAGTAATTAAGACGAACTGCATGTTGGGTATTCTGGTGGAGGAGAAGGGGGGTGGGGGGCGAACCTTCAGAACCATGCAGGTGGCAACTTGAAAGGACAAACCGCAACCTGTACTGATGTATTTTTTTTAAGAAGCTGTGAATCTTGTTTTCAAACATGAATCTCTACCTTGGGACTAAGCTGCTTAATTGGCCTCTGATCCCTTTTTAACACCACAAGCAGGAGGGAAAATCAAGGGCTCATCACAGACCTATGTGCTGGTCTGAAAGGAAAACCATCACCGCCTACAACGCCTTACATGTTCTAACCCTGTCTGCCTCTGGAAACCGAGTCATTCCGTAATTCCTGTCATTCCGCGCACTCCTTACACGCGCGCGCGCGCACTCACGCACACAAGCGCACTCTCCCCAATAGGAACTCCCCCTGCTTGCAGGGCCTGCCCACACCCCATGCAGAAGGCTTCACGCAGGCGCGCGCGCATTTGGGGCCAGCGTCCTCCCCCTCCCACCCACAGACACGCGCTCACGCTTACACGCACGTGTTCGCGTATATAAACAATTTAAAATGAAGTTCTGGTGACTCAAAATTAAGCCTCAAAGCAAAATAATTTTTTTATAAAATCGTATTTTATATACAAACTAAAAACATCAAACCACTGGTTAGTTGACTTGACTCATCGTGACCCCAGGTGCTAGAGGAGAATTTGCTCCCTGGGGTTTTCTGGGCTATCTTCCCAGAAGCAAATCTCCATCCAGCCCTTTCGACTGCGGCATGCTGGGTAAATCTGAGCAGCCAGACTTTAGGCTAGCAGTGAGCAGACACCATTGTGCCTTCTTTCTTACCTGTGCTGCTGCGGTGAGTTGCTGTTAGGCCCACTCGGGAGAACGACTCCGCAGGGTGGTCAAGCCTGTGATGCTCAGAAGAAGATCACCGGGCCTGTACCTTGCAAGATGCCTCGGGGCTAATTCTAGCCACCAGTCTTTCTGCTCTTAGCCAAATGCCTAGCCATTTGCACCACCCAGAGACTTCTATTAATACATAAAGTACCTCTCACATTCAGTAGACATGCAAATGAGCTTTCCCAAAGACTTAGCTAATCACGTGCTCATTCTTCTTCCTCACTGGACTGCTCACTGCAAGGTCGACAGTTCAAAGTCTCCAGCCACTCCACTGGAGAAAGATGAGGTTTTCTAGTCCTGTAAAGATCTACACTCGGTCGAGAGAGGGGAAAGGGAGCGAATACATCTGGGAGAAGCCAAGTGCATGTCTGTTAGTAGAATAAGAGGGAGGACTAACCACCGACTGGGGGGGGAAATGACCAACAACAGTTTTAAGGACCATACGGCGCCGAGTATGCCTGGTAATATGCACCTAATAAGCTACAATTCCACCCTGTCCTACAGTCGCCATGAGCTGGCACCGGCTCCATGGCAGTGAAATAGGAGATTGGGAGAGTGAGAAATTGGTTGTCTGTGAAATCACTCCAGCTACACACCCTGCTTAGCCTCCATTTCATGTTCTGGACATAGTTGATTGCATCTTTCCAGTATTATCACGTCCCTCTCTCCCCTTTACTTTCTATATGCTTAGATCTAAAGCAGTGGTTCTCAACCTGTGGGTCGTGACCCCTGTGGGGGTGGAACAACCCTTTCACAGGGGCCGCCCAATTTATAACAGTAGTAAAATGACAGTTAAGAAGTAGCAACAAAAATCATTTTATGGTTGGGCAGGTCACCACAAGAGGAGCTGTATTAAAGGGTCACTGCATTAGGAAGGTTGAGAACCACTGATCTAAAGGCTTATTCAGGGTCAAGGTCAAATGTTTTAGCAAAAACATTTCATAAGCAGAACTGGGTATGTTTTTGTTTGTTTAATGTTCAATTCACTTGTTTTTAGCATATTCATAGTTCACTATGTATATCTGTCACCATGATCAATTTTAGAACATTTCCATTCCCAAAACAGAAACTCTACACCCCTAGCCAGCATTACCCAATGTTCTCACTTCTCTCTGAATCCTAGGCAACCACTACTAATCTATCCTGTATCTGTAGATCTGCCTAATCTGGACACTATATGATGGAATAGTATACTATGTGGTTCTTCGTGACTGGCTTCTTGCACTAAACATAATGTTTCAAGATTCACCAGTGCTCTAGCATATATCAGTACTACATTCCTTTTATGGCTGAATACTCCGTTGTGTTAATATACCACATTTTGTACATTCACTCATTCGTTGATGAACATTTGGGTTGTTTCCCCTTTAGGGTCATTAGTAATAATGCTGTTGCAGACATCCTTGTACAACCTTGCATGTGGACATATTTTCATTTCTTTGGGGTACATACATAAGAGTAGAATCATTAAATTATATGGCAACTCTATGTGTGACTGTTTGAGAAGCTGCAAGACAAGACTTTTTTCCAAAGTGGTAGCACCAGTCTACATACCAACAATAGTGTATGAGGGCCCTAATTTCTCCACATCCTTGCCAGGACTTGCTACTCTGGGCTCATTAGAGCCATTATGGGGAGAGTATTATTGTGGCTTCAGTTTGCATTTAACTCTTATCCTGGTCAATTCTGATAACTAAGGATGCTGAGCATTTTTCCTTGTCCTTGCTGGCCATTTGTGTCTCTTCTTTGGCAAAGTACCTGTTCAGATCTTTTGCCTATTTTTAATTGAATTATTTATTTTCTTATTATTGAATTGCAAGAATCAAGTCTCTTATCGGATATATGATGTGTAAAACATGACTCCATTCTGTAGATTATATTTTCATTTTCTTAATGGTGTCCTTTGGAGCACAAAATGTTTTCAGTTTTGATGGTGTCCAGTTGATCTATTCTTTGCTACTTATGCATTTGGTGTCATGTCTAAGAAACCATTGCCTAAACCAGTCCCAGAAACATAATCCCAAATTTCCTTCTAAGAGTTTTCCAGTGTTAGCTCTTAGATAGGCATTTCATCTACTTTGAATTCATTGTTAGATACAGTGGGCGTATGGATCGGATCTTGATATCCTATTGCCCAAATACCACCAGTTGAAGATGACTGTTTCTCCATTTTCTTGTCTGACTACACTTGTCAAATTAAATACTTCTTCACTCTTGACTGCCTCTGTTTTGCCTTAAAATATATTCACACGCATGTGTAGTCAGCCTACCATTAAAAGATCTCCCATCATCTTCCACGTAGGGCTTGAGGAGCCATTCATGAGAAGGATGTCTTTCAGGGTTGCAAGATGGTGACATTCTACTCTCTCATTCTTCATGAATTTATTAAATTTTAGAAGCTTTCTCTGAAAATGGACTATGATTTTCTGACAGCTGTCTACATGCCCTGTGAGCTTTAAGCCTAAATTATCTGACCAGCCTCTCCATGCTCGCACATCGTAGACTCTCACCATACATTTGGGAGCCCAAAGCATCTATGCCCACAATTACAATAATTCTCTCTCTCTCTCTCTCTCTCTCTCTCTCTCTCTCTGAAGCTCTGGGTCTCTGGATCTCTCTATATATACTTTTTTCCTTGGGTGTTCCCCAGCCAGCTCAAAAACAGAACTCATTTCTCACCCCCTTTCAGCCTGGCATGTTTACCATCACTGAACTGCTACCCTGTTTCCACTGGCCCCTGCCAGCTGGCAAATCTTCCCTGTCTTCTTGTGCCAGTCTCCTTATCGCTGCCCTCAAGCCAGCCTCAGCTTCCCGGCCGCCTCAGCCACCGTTCACGGCCTCACTCTCTCCGGATGTCTGGTTCCCATGCTTGGGCCAAAACCAGGAGCAAAAGGTTTGCGTTCACTCCGCTCAGAGAAAAAAGGGCTTCAGGGTGGATATAAAAATAGGAGATGACTTTGGTTTTTTAAACCTGGATGTATGTAGAAGTTTCGCATTCCTGTGTTTCGAAGAGAAAGGGGCCATAAATTAGAACAGGAAGATTTCATGAGGGACAAGGAACAACCTTCCTATCGCACCGATGGTTAGAAACCAAACCACTGAAACTGCTGACGGAGCCTGTGGAATCTGTTCCTGCTGTTGAGTTTTAGTTTAGCTTCCCACCCCCACCCCACCCAGCTCCCCAGGAGAAGAAGACAGCTTAGTATAAATAAAACGGCTTCCAAATCAGACCAACAT